AAGGATTTGGACTTTATCCTGCAAGCAGCAGGGAGCCTAAAGAGATGGTCTGATACTACTGTCCTTTGAGGACAGTGTACAGGATGACCCCCTACACAGGGACAGCAGTTTGGAAGCATCTCAGAATACAGACTGAAGGGAGTTAAGGGCTTGAAGAGCAGGAAATGGAGAGGAGAATTTTAGAGACTGTGCACGGTTTGGTTCACTGTTCCAAACACCGTTCTCAGCACTTACATGTTAACTGATGTAACGTTCCCAGCAGCCTTAAGAGATGGGCTTTTTGTAAAACACACATGCGCACATGCACACACACATCAATTCTGTGGCTGAGAATGCAGAATGGGAAGGTTCTGGAAGCTCATACAGCTAGAGGCAGCAGGCCTGCAGGGCTCTACTCCCCGGTCTCCAGGGGCTGGGGAGCTACTAAGGATGACTCCACATCCTGAGCTGGAGGAACAGTGGTACTGCCAGCAGTGAGAGGGAAAATCAGTAGGAGCAGACAGTGTGGAAGGAAGGATGAGAAATTCATAAAGAAAATAATAGCAATATTGACCTGCACTTGAGATGGAAGGGCACTCTCAAGAGAATTCTCAGATCTGGAGATGCCTGGGAGGTTCATGCCTGGGGAACCCGGGGCTGGTGCTGTGACATAGGGTGGCCCAGGGAGAAAGCCTATGTGTGGAAATGGTGGCCGTCTGCTCATGTCTTACAGATGCCAAATGCCTCTACTCTTTACCAGAGACCCTCTACGTACCCCGGGATTCTCTCCAGCTTCACCTCTTCCTTCCCAGCCAGGTTGGGTCCTCTATTTCCCCTGCCCCTGCCACGTCCCCTGGTCCCCACCAACTGTCTTTCTCTCCTAGTGTCCTTCTGTCCTACATGCCCTAAAACTGACTTCTCCCTGACAGTCACAGGGACCTGCCACTGTGCTATCTAAGAGATAAGAGCTGGTCCTCAACCTTTGCTATCTCTGGAAGTTCTGGGTCCTGAGGACCCCTGTTGAAGATTTCTCACTGACCCTTGGCACCTGTCACCAAGGTTTGCCCCTGATTCCTCTGCCCAGTCAAAGGGTAGAGCTTTGGCTTCCTAAAGAGCCTCAGACCTTCCTAAAGGAAAGTACAGTCAAATTCACAAGACTTCATGTTAGTAAGTGGACGAACATGAATCACATACATGCAGATGACACACAGGTGATAAGGAATGATCTCGAAAGTGTGGAGAATGGTCTCAAGCAACCTGTCTTGTCTATGCTCAGGGTTGTCTTCAAAGAAGCTGGCGTGGACGCTAACACATCCATTCCTTGCACACGTGGTACAACAGAAAAGTAAAAAGTGCTCCACTTATAACAGGCAACCTAGACAACCAAGGTACAAGTACCAGTGTCTAAAAGCCCACCTAAAGAAGGAGGGCCTGCCTGAAAGTCAATTAGGAATCACTGTGAATATTTAGAGAGAACGTTTAGAGTTGTGTGTCCTGCCGTCAGTGAGACAATTCCCACCTCTGGTCCAATGGGATGGGCTACTGTGAGTTGAAACTAAAGAGGCAGATTTGATCTTGTCCTTTATTTTCTAGCAGGCTTTGGCTACTGACATATATATTCATCAATAAAACTTTCTTTCTCATAATAAAAAAAGAAAATAAATTCTTACCCATGCTGCATAAAATATGAATGAACCTTGAAGACATTATGCTAAGTGAAATAAGCCAGTCACAAAAAGACAAATACCACGTTATTCCATTATATCAGGTACCTAGAGTAGTCAAATCCACGGAGACAGAAAAGGGAATCGTGGTTACCATGGGCTTGGGGGAGGGAGAAATGGGGAGTTATTGCTTAATGGGTACAGAGTTCCAATTTTTAAGATGAAAAATGTCTGGAAATTGGACAACGTGAATATAATTAACACACTGAACTGTACACTTAGAAATGGTTAAAACGTTAAGTTGTAAGTTAGGTTTTTGGCCACAATTTTTAAAATGCTATGGCTTAATTATGAAGATGAAATCGATTTTCTCTCAATATGTTAGGTATAGAAGAAATGTACCTCAAAATAATAAAGGCCATATACGGCAATCCCCTAGCTAATTCCACATTTAATAGTGAATAGTTGAAAGATTTTCCTCTAAGATCAAGAAAAAGACATTGAGGCCCATTCTCACCACTACTATTCAACACAGTACTAAAAGCCCCAGACAGAGCAGTGAGGGAAGAAGAGGAAATAAAGGCCTCCACCTCGGGGAGGATGAAGGTGAACTGTCACTGTTTGTAGACAGCACGATTTCATACCGAAAAATCTTAAAGACTCCACCAAAAAACAACAAAAACTAATAACAAATTCATCAAAGTTGTAGGATACAAAATCAACCCACAAAAATCAGCAGTGTGTCTACACTTGAACAGCAAACTATCTGAAAAAGAAATCAAGCAAACAATCCCCTTAACCATAGCATAAAAATACTTAGGAATACATTTAACAAAAGAGGTGAAAGATCTGTACACAGAAAACTATATAAACATTGATAAAAGAGATTGAAGAAGACACAAATAAATGGACAGGCATCCCACACTCAGGGATTGGAGGAATTAATATTGTTAAAATGTCCATACTACCCTAAGGCATGCACTGGACCAATGGGGTCCCTATAAAATTCCAATGACATCCGCCATAGAAAGGGAAAAAATAATCCTAAAGTTCATATGGAACAACAGAAGACCATGAATAGCCATAGCAATCTTGAGCAAAAAGAACAATAGTGGCGGCATCACTCTACTTGATCTCCAAATCTACTACCATGATACCAGCATGAGAACAGACACATGGACAAGTGGAAGCAGAGAAGCCCAGACATAAAACCAAACATGTACAATCGATCAGTCTTTGAAAAGGGCACCAAAAAGACACCAGGAGGAAAGGACAGCCTCTTCAATGTATAGTGTCGGGAAAAAATGAACATCCACAAGCAAAAGAATGAAATTCATCCCTTATCTTCCACCATATACAAAATCAATCCCAAAGATCTTAATCCACAAAACTCCGAGAGAAACCACAGGGGAAAATTGCTTGACATTGATCTTGGCAATAATTTCTTAGGACACCAAATGAAAAAGCAAACGTGGGACTATGTCAAACTAAAAAGCTTCTGCCCAGCAAAGGAAGTAAACAAAAAGGCAGACTACAGACAGGGAGAAAATATTTGTAAACCATACATCTGATAAGGGTTTAATACTCAATATATATAAGGAACTCACATAACTCAATAGCAAAAAAATGAATAACACGATTAAAAAATGGGCAAAGAAAAAATAGACACTTCTCCAGAGAAGACATAAAAATGACCAAGTGAAAAGCGCTCACCATCACTAATTGTCAGAGAAACACAAATAAAAATCACAGGAAGAAGTATCATTTCACACCTGCTAGAATGACTTTTATCAAAGAGACAAGAAATTACGAGTGTTGAAAAGGTGCAGAGAAAATAAAAACTGTACACACTGGCTTGGTGCCTGTAGCTCAGGGGCGAGGGCACCAGCCACATACACTGGAGCTGGTGGGTTTGAACCCAGCCAGGGCTGCCAAACAATAATGACAGGTGCACTGTGGC